GAAATCAGGTCTCCCTTGTAAATGAGTCCCCGAGGCTCAATGGGATTAACCTGTCTAAGTAAAGGTTGAATGAATATGAACTAAGAAAAACGTTAACTAAAAATACGCTAAGCACTAGTAATTCCCATGGAGTCACATACGCAACACAATTACCCTATTGTTTATAATTTAAAATATATATATTTTTCATACATGTATTTTTTTAATCATTAGTTTTATTGGTTTATTAAAGATCCATTGTGCAGGATGCAGTGCCATCTAGTGGTACAATGTTAAAATGCCACTCCAATGGCTGCTAAAGTATAAAAAGAAAAAGGGAAGCCCTCGTTTCCTTTGTGTTAATCAGTGATAAAATAAACAAACCACTAGGTTTTCTGAATACACAAATACACATTTAATTTTTACTGTAATCCACAAAACAGTCCTAAATAAATATCACTGGATTTCTGCCACTAGACCTTTGATGTTTTTCAGTAAACCTTTCATTTGAAGTAAGTTTATCCAGACTCCTGCTGCTCAACTGGGAACTGTGGAACATGTCAGCGTGATGACACAGGACCACAGACTGATGATCTCTCTCTCCTACCCCCCCCCCCCACACACACACACACACACACATTCATAGTGGCTCCAGCTGTCTTCCCTGGTAAGTTGTGTACAGTGTGTGAGGATCGTGGCCTCCAGTAACATCTGATACAGGATCTGCAAACCACAAGGGATCTGGGTGTCAGTACTGGTTAGAGAGAGAGATGTGTGTGTGTGTATGTGTGTGTGTGTGTGTGTGTCCTTGTTTATGCTACTTTGTGAGGCCCATTTTTCCAACTTATACTACATTGTGAGGACCAACCGCTCCTTATGGGGCCCAAAGCCTGGGCCCCATAAGAAGAAGTCCCGTTGGTGGGTTAGGGGCTAGGTTTAGGACTAAGGTGTGAATTGAGGATGTGTTAGGTTTAGGGTTAGGTATGTACTGGTAATGGTTAGGTTATGGATAAAGGTCATGGTTAGGCTATAGAAATGAATGAAAAATGAATGGAAGTCAATGCAAAGGCCCCACAAAGATAGCAAAACAAACCTGTGTGTGTGTGTGTGTGTGTGTGTGTGTGGTATGTGTGTTTTCAGAGTGAGAATGATGAGGAATAATTTGGTGGCTGACAGATCAGCAGCTAAATGCAGAGACTCATTTTCATTTGGAAGAACTGAAAACATTAAACCAGAGTTTAGTAAATAAAATAATGTTTCAGGTCTAAATTTGTGTCATTAATATTTTGTAAAATATTATTTGTTTTTGTTGTTTACAGATTTTCATAAAACTGTCGTTCATCCTCATCGCTCTGATGAAGGAGCACAGCTGGAAGATTTTTCACCACCAGATGGGATGAAGAAAACCAGTGACGCGACATTGAAGTGCTTTTAATCATCAGTCATGGAAAGAAATTATAATCTATGCAGAAAATACAGAAAATAATCTCTGCGCACGTCGGAACAAGCCAAGTTTAAACTTTTTAATGGCAAAAGCCATCGTCTTATAATTCAGACAGAAATCCACACACACACTTTTAAACAAACACACACACACACATGCAGGACACGTTCAGGAGCCGCCCTGCAGAGCAGCAGCAGAGGGAGGGTGAGGGTGGGGGAGGCGAGGGGTGAGAACAAGAGATACAAAAACTTTCTCTGATCAACTTTGTCAGAACCTCTGCAGAGAACCATCCAGACTGAACAGTGATGGCACCTTTCATCACAACCAGGAGGATTTTCTGACGTCCGCACGTCATAAATGAAGAAGTGATTTCCAATCAAGGAGCAGCACAACTGAAGAGAACAAGCAGCAAAATGACAGTAAGTCAGAGCTGACGCTCAAATGACTTTTGACACATTTTGATCACCTTCCTGTTTTATATGTAATATTTTAGTTTTCACAAAAAGTAGTTTGTCATTTAAAATATTTGAGACTTGTCAAAGGTGAATCAAATCATAAGGAAATGCCACTGAGCCCAAGCTATATTAAAAAAAACGGGTCAACCTCTGCATTTTCCACAAACTAATTATTTATAATTAGACTTTACAAACGCTGCACCTATGAAATAAAAATGAAAATGCGTGCATTTGCAAACACATTTAAATCCCATTTTAAAGGATTTCAACAATCAATTTTAAAATGTAAAGACTTTATTTAGCATTTATTGAGAAAAAACACAATTAGGCTGTAATAATTATGAAGCTGTTAATAATGCTCGTATCGTTACTTGTGCTACATTTACTGTTTAGCTGTACAATGCTGTAACATTTAACATGAATTATTAAAAAATACAATTTACTTTAGTCAAAACTGCGTTAATTTATTAATTACTTATGAGTGAAAGTAGCTCCTATAACAAATAGTGAAAAAATAAATAATATGAATAACTTTTGGCTGAAGAATTGCCTCCAAATTGATAAAGTCTTTGATTTGTGTGTAAAACCATTTACAGTGCATTAAAACGTCTCCTCAAATTTGAACCCAAAACAAATATAATTAAGCAAAGTGGTCAAATGTTCCTTTTTTTTTTTGGTCTCGTGCAGCTGAGCGACTCATCACAGACCAAACAACTCTGTTTTTAACCCTCTTTGTGCCGACGAAGTGTGAAGCACGAGAAGAGCTTTGATTTCGTGAAAAATGTCACATTGTTGCTGCAAAAACAAACTAAATGTGAAAAAGTTTTGCAAAATCAGTTAAATTCTGAACACCAATTGTGTTTTATCGTTCCTGAAATCTATTTATCATCTCATAAAAACAAGCAGCATTTATGTAAACGAAACAAAAAAAAACACTTGCAAAAGTCGTGAGGAAGCACACAAGTCGTTTCTCAGAAGCTGCAGAACCTCGTGGGGATTTCGGCGTCTGTTTTCAGCACATCTGCACCTCACTAATGAGCCGTAATGATCCGCTCCCCGTTTAGACTCTGACACCTCAACTCCATCCACGAGTGCCAGCTGCAGTGGAAACATCAATGAACCAAACAAAGATCAGTGAGTGTGGCAGGACTTTATGTGGCTATTAACAGCCATGTTGATACCAGCGGATAAGTGCTATCAACATCACCATGGCAACAAGCATCACTGGAACGGTTGCGTTACATTCCTGAAGGCTACAAGAGCTTCAGATAAACACAGAGCAGCATCGATGTGTTGTGTTCGATCGGATTACACATTAAAAACCTGATTTAGATCTGGAGTCTCATTACAGCACGAATGATTCTGATTTTATTCACAAACCGCAGCTACTTGCTGCACCCGAACAAAATCCGAGCCCCTTAAAGACGATCTAACAAAAATAATCCATCAACAGCAGCTTGAGCTATGTGATAATTTAATCTGTTCCAGTTCAAAAAGTTGAGTGTTTTCTGAAAAATTAGTTTGCAGGTTGTCTCGAACATAAAAATTTAAACGCTAATTACGAAACTGCTTGGGTTTGTTGCAATATTTTATGTAGCCTTACATGATTGTAAACTTAAACTGTTTTTATTTTAGCTCAGTGTTTTTAGAGATAAGGTTCGGACGCGTCGAGTCAGAAACTATAGCAGCTACAAAAAAGGTTCAATCATGTCATCTGGACTAGTTTCTTATCAGCTATAATGTTCGTTTGTGTCATTAAAAAAATGCTCTTTAATGTGTCGTTTTAATTAACGCCTCACATTTGTTTTACATCTGACTTCATTCTGTGGAAAATGCATCTGACGAGGGTTAGAGAATGATCAAATCTTGATGTTTACAAGAACTCAGAAGCAAATGCACAAAACTCACCGCGACAAAGAATATAGTAAAAATCAAAAATAAAAATCTTAAAAATATTTGATGTGAATAATTTATTGCCGCTTCAGTTCTGACTATTAAATACGAAAAAAGAAATGTGCAAAGCATACTTGAAACATCTAACTTGGATTTAACCATGAGGGTTATTTCTAGTGCTGAATAACTTTCAGTGAAATTTGACAAATGATGCCACATTTGCACCGTTCCTACTCAGCCCCAACTCATTGTTCCAGAGTACTTTTTAACTGACTCGAGGCTGATTCAGGACCTGTTGGTCCCTGCTTCTCTGGTGGGACCGTTGGAGCTCAGTCGAGCTGACTCGGGACGAAAACGTGAATGCAGGACACTGATTGGTCAGGTGCAGGAGTCACTGGATCGCAGAAACTTTTCACCGATCCTTCATTTGCAATTTCTCGGAACTCGGAGCAGCGGCTGGATCCATTTTTAAGATTTTAAAAACAATAATGACAACGCCGTGTTTAATGCTGAAGTCCAGGCGTTTTTTTTGGGTTTTTTGTGTGTGTTTGGTGACTGACGAGAAAATTGGAGCGAGCGGAGTCACCGCGGAGGATCATACGAGCTGCCGACCCGTTGAAGCACAGCCCCGGCCTCGCCTGCTCACAAAGGCCGGATTCCGAGCCCTGGCAGGACCGGGAGGACCGGGAGTCCGGGACGGAGGGTGGAAATGTTTTAAACATGTTATGTATAAAAAAAGTTTTGTTTTATCAGTGAAGAATAAAAATAAATAAACGGTGCCGGCTTTATCATGAAATCCTGTTTTCACTTTGGCTTTATTAAATATTCTGTTAATTAAAGTTAACTCAGCTGAAAAATCATAAAAAGACTAAACTATTGGATCTCTCAGGAATATTTCCCTAAAACGTGTTTAAAGAAGAGCATTTGGTTCAACTTTATTCTAACGCACACATGTACAAATCACAGAACAAGAATTACACTTTAAATCACTAAAATAAAATCTGTGTGCAAGAAACGGAACCAAATATCAAAAATGAGTACAAATACATCAAATGATGAAGAAAAATATGAAATTTTAAATATAAATGTTTTTGTAGAATCTGGTTCATCAGATTTAACTCATTTTATTTCTATAACGCCAGAAGTCGTCTCAGGGCACCGAACAGAAACATCGATAATTAAAAATAATAATAATTTAACATTATTTATCTGAGGAGCGTTGAGTTTAACTCATCGCAGAACTCTCACTCGGTGAACTAAAGTTCATTAAAGTTCATTCACGCCTCCAGAACCCGTCCTGAAGTTCGATGCAAATCCAGGCTGAGCTGAGCAGAGCCGGGCTGAGTAGGAGCGGTGCAAAAGGTGCATTAGATTCTGAATAAGAAAACATTTGTGGGATTATTCTCTTTAATTTAATCTTGCCCGTTCTTTATCTCAAAAAATGCATCAGTTTGATTGTGAGGCGTAAAAGCAGCATTTTACCTGCAGCACGTTTCTTCTGTGTTCAGGCAGCCACGAAGCTCCTGGATGAGATGTGTCATCTGAGCGCTCAGTCTCTGACAGCTCTGGACACGTCGGAGCACTTCAAGCTCCTGAAGCTGCTGGGGGAAGGCTCGTACGGGAAGGTCATGCTGGCCGTACACAAGAAAAGAGGTGAGGAAGTTAACAAACCTCTCTCAGCTGCAACGAGACAACTTAAAAAATATGACAAACACCCGTTATTGTTCCCTCCTCAGGTACTCCCATGGCTTTGAAGTTCTTCCCTCGCGAGTCCACCTCACTTTTCTCCTTCTTGAGGGAATACAACCTCTCCCTGGCGTTTTGCACCCACCCGTCTCTGACTCGAGCTTTGGGAATCGCCTACTTCACTCCTTCGCATTACATCTTCGCTCAGCAGGCCAGCCTCTTCGGTGATCTGTATGACGTCATCGTTCCTGAGGTAGAACGATCATTATAAAGAAGTTTGTGGGCTTAAAACGATAAAGTGATCAGGAAAAAATGGAAACTAAAGAATGAGATGTTTTTAACAAGACATTACGCCAGAGCAGTTGGAGCTGCACAGGCCAGAACCTGCATGTTGGAGCAACTGTGACTAAATTTAACTGAAACGAGTGGAAACATGATAAAATGCATGTGTTGATCTGAACGTGGCTCATCAAGTCGTCTGTTAATCGTTGTTCAGGTGGGGATGGAGGAGGACTGTTGTCAGCGGGTGGTGTCCCAGCTGTGTGGGGCCCTGTCCCACCTGCACGCCCTCGGCTTTGTCCACAGAGACGTCAAACCCGAGAACGTCTTCCTGTGCGACTCTGCCTGCCGGTGGGTCAAACTGGGAGACTTCGGCATGGTCAGTAGCTGCAGAATGGTGACGTCTGACAAACCTTCTGGTGCTGCTGGGAACACCTTGTTTACTAAACTAACCACTACTTCCAGGTGAAGGCCAAAGGAACCAGAGTCCCAGAGGTCTGGTACAGCTCGCCTTACTGCACGCCGGAGGCGGAGGTCGCTCGGGGCAACGAGGACAGCTGGAGCAGCATGAATGATCAGCGTGACGGAGCTAAGGATGACGAGGAGAAGGAGAAGAAGAGGGTTTGGGCGTCTGTGGAGCCCAGCACAGACAGCTGGGCCCTGGGCGTCCTGACGTACGCCATGATCACCGGCAGCCACCCCTGGGCCGAGACGGCCAGCGACTGTCGCTCCTACCTGAAATATCAGGAGTGGTGTGATAGAGCGAAAGGCCCCAGTGATGAACTGGACGTTTGGACAGAACCACAGAAAACCAGCGATCCCAACAAAGCACAGAAGGACCAAACCCCCACAGCCCCCCAGTTCACGTGTTTCACACCGCTGGCCTGCTGCTTCTTCCAGTCGCTCCTCAACCCCAGAGCGCAGCACCGCGGTCGACCCGAGGACGCTCTGAGTTACCTGGGAGGGGACTGGATGGTGGAGAAAGAGAGGGCGAGGCTGGAGGAGGAGAGAAAGAAAAGCAGCGGGAAGGGTGCGGTCAGGCGCATGAAAGAGATGGAAGGGAGAGGAGAGCGGTGAGAAACCCAAACAGACTTTAATGGACTGTTGATGTAAAGACTTTTTTTAAATATATATTTTTTTAGTTAAGCAAACTTGTTTTTGTTGCTTTTTAAAATAACTCTGGTTTTAAAGCAGCTTCTATTTTGTATTGCGTGGGTTTCTAACGTGTAGTTAGTATGTTACCTGCGGTAGACGACATTCGGTGCATTCTCACAAACCAGGATGAAGAAAAAACTTTACTTGCCCTTTCACTTAAAGTGCAATGACTTGTTTTTATTATTATTATTAGTTTCAATAAAAAAAACATATTCAACTAGTTACATCTATTGTCTCTTTTTTTATACAAAAAGGACCCAAAAAGAACAAAACAACAACCACAAAGCAGTAACGGGTGGTCCTAGCTCAGGGGTTATCAACTGGTGGCTCATGGGCCACTTTAAGTTTGTTAGAGGGGCTTTTCTGGCCAGTAGGTGTTAAGTTATAAAACTAAACATCAAATGATTAACATTTATTGATATTTTTACATTTTGAGACAAAAGAAAAGACTGGAATCCATCCATCCATCCATCCATCCATCCATCCATCATCTTTACTCGCGTCTTCCTTTTCAGGTTGCAGGGGGTCACTGGTGCCCATGTCCAGGTCACAAGTCTATCACAGAAGACTGGATTCTTGTAAAGAACAAGAAGAAGATATTATTTAGCTAATTTTTAAAAACTAAAACATTGAACAGTGCAGGTTTATGTGTTTGTTTTTTTTATTGTGGAGAAATTGAGTGTCCTACTTTGAAGAAATACACTAAAGCATAAAGTTAAAGTGAGTATAATTTACACTGTTAATAAACTAGTAGTTTTTATTGTGGGTATAACATCCTATAAAATTCAGTTTTATGTTAGTTTTGGTCAAAGCTTGAAAGAGCCGCTGCAGAGGGACCAAAGAGCCGCATGTGGCTCTAGAGCCGCAGGTTGCAGACCCCTGTCCCAGATTATCCTAATGCTGACATCACATGCTGTGGTAGTAACTGAGAGTCATTCATTAAACACACTCCGAGTGTGACATCTCATGATGTCATGGAAGACTGAGCAAAACTTTATTTTTAAGATTTAATCATTTCCCAACAAAAGATGATCTTAGTGGCATTATGTACATATTTATTTATTTATTTATTTAACAAAGTAAAATCCCAGTATCTTTTTCTAGTGCCTTCAGATCGCCTAAGCCCGAGCACCAGAGAAAACCACACAAACAAGAGCCCAGGGTTTGAACCCAGAGCCTCCTTGCTGCGAGGCAACACAACCACTGATCCACTGTGTTGGTCCTTGGAGCGTTAATTCCATTACAGCACGAATCATCCAACACAACAGAGAGAGCAGATGGTGAATTAAGAGGGAAGTCCATAAAAACTTCCTCCTGTGGTTGAACCTCTTCAAACACCCGGGAAACCACTTTAGGAAAATCCCCCTTGTGAAAAGGAAACGGTAGTTTTTGGAAACCTGTTTTTGCTGAGACGGTTACAACAGTTTGTTGTAAGGACATGGTGGCATTACAGCGCCGCTTAACTCCAGTAATCCTCAGAGCAGCAGCTGGCACATTGTGCTACAACCAAAGTGTCTTTAGCACACGGGGATAAATTTAGACCTGGATTCTGGAGTGTGTGACACGTCACGGTGGGCCGTGCAGACTGTAATAGACCTGAGCCATAAACACGTCTGAGGTCCAGTTTAGACACGACCGCAGCAGCTTTTATTACTTGGATCTGCGAGACCGATACGTTTTTTAGCTGTGCGTTTTGTTTAAATCTCTTCTATTTGATGTGCACAAAACTTGTCGGATTAAAATCTGATTTTATCTAATTATTTATTATTTCATTTACTTTTTTTGTTGCCATTCACGTCAGCTTTACAACATCAAGGCCTCTAAGTGTCTGTGCAGTGAGTGCAGCTGCAGATTATTATGATGCATTACACTTTATTGTCCCATTGGAACGTGCTTTGGACTTCTAATCTGATTTTTAATCTCAACCTGACGTTTAATGAAAAATCCAGCATGTTAATCTTAAACTACCTGTCTCAGCATCATGCTCTGCAGGGCCCATAAGGAGACCGCCCTCAGGTGTTTTCAGAAATAGACGTAGTCGTAAATTTGACACTGCCCTTTCAGCAGCGAGCAGGAACCTAAATCTTCAGTCTCATCTTCTGGACAAGTCCAGCTTAGAATACGTTTGTCCATGAAGTTTCAATCCAGAGGAGAATTTTCAAATTTCAGCTCAGAACATTCAGCAAGAGAGAAAAAAAAGATTCTTGATGAGTTTTTATTATTTGGCACGGTGATGTGCAGCACAGTCCTGTGAGCCAGGCTGGTTAGTTCATTGTCAAACATCCGGTCTTCTGTTGCAGAGTGAGAAGTTGGCAGAGCCACTGGACCATTTCACTGCCAGAACAGATTTGATCCTTAATGCCAGAACAGATTTGATCTTTAGTGCTTGTGCTCAAAAGGAGAGGTCATGTGAGGTCAGAGAAGAGCTGAGTGTGACTGGAGGCTGAACTGCTGCTCCGGCAAATCAAAACTGGACAGATGGAAATAAAAAACCCTGTTTGAGGCTGAAAGGGTAAAAGTCGAACACAAACCGATTTAAACACCAGCACTTTTTATAGAAACATTAAATTATTAACATAGTAGGTTTTATTTATGACATTTTTCCAGTAGATCAGAGAAGAAGTTCTCCAGTTTATATTTTTTTAGGGTTTGCTGCAAGTTTATGAGAAATAACAGCGAAAATGATTCAAGTGCAGGAAAGAGGCGCAAATGGACGTGCTCATTTTTTTTAAACTAAAATACCCTCCAGACCTGTATATTCATCCATCCATCCATCCATCCAATTTCTGTACGAGAGGTGGGGGACACTTTGGACAGGTCTCCAGTCCATCACAGTTGTCCATCAATGTTGTGGTCCAAACTCTTCTGATCTGTTTCATTAAGGTTGTAGTTTAGCTGACAAGTTATCATGATGAATATCTCATGCTATTTAAATGAAGTATAAGAAAAATAATGTGATGGGAGGATCACTTTAATTCAATTAAAATTCAATTCAAAAATACTTTATTAATCCCAAAGGGAAATTAATTGTTGATGTAGCTCATCCTGGTTTCATTAGAGTTGTTATAGATGCTGATGGTTTGGGCAGGAAGTATCTCTTGTAGAGTTCCGTCCCACAGCGGATCTGAAGAAACGGGCTGCAGATGCTCATCTGTCCACCCAGACCAAGCAGACCTCGGTCCTCTTGGGCAGCAGGACTACCTGAATGTCAGGCAGAACTCCTCCCCCAGTGATGGCCATTTCTCCCAGCAACTTCTGCGCTCCTCATCGCCGTGGACCTAATTGTAGGTGTCAGGCACTTGAGCACCACCTCCAGGTAGACGGAGATGCATCCACGGCACCTCCTTTTTAACTCATTTGGGATTTGGGGCCCTAGTTGAGGTATTATTTGAGCTTTTGAGATGTTAATCAGGAGCTCCCAGTTGTAGAAAACTACTTTGTTGTTATGGTTATGCATCATAACAAATGTCCAAAAGTTAAAAAAAAAAGGTTTCAGTAAAAATCCATCCAGCGGCACAGCATCTGATTCCAGAGGAAGTAGTCATCTGGAAAAAAAGCAATTTACATCCAGAAAAAAACAGGAAATAAAGTTTTCAAGCAAAATCTCAGAATGAACGCAAGAGAGCTACTCCAACATGCAGCCACCGTGAGTGGCACAACTCTAGAATTTAATTTAACTTTCCCTTTTTCAACATTTTAAACTTTTTTTTTATATTAAATTCAATCTACTGTTGAAGTTATACAGTTAATTCTTGTTGAATTTCAGGTCCACAAACAATAACATTTGTTCAGTGATAACAGTTTAAATCTTTTCCCTAGTCCTTGTAGGAATATTAATAACAGTAGAAATATAATTTTACAAGAAATGTTAACTTTAAATAACAATTTTTGACCCGAGCATTCAGGAAGTGATGATTTTTTTCAGAGTACCTGAACTAATTAGATTTATATATTAAATGTATTTTTTTTATATTTGTTTTATGTTCTGGATCTATAAAGAGCCGACCATCCAAGAGATGTTTCCGTGTATGGCTGAGAAGCAACATGACATGACAGGAGCACTTCTGGAGCTTCAGCTCAGCTTGTGAACAAAAGCTGAAGACTCGTTTGGACCTGATGGAGGGAAAAGATCACAGAAGCACCTGATGGAGGGAAAAGATCACAGAAGCACCTGATGGAGGGAAAAGATCACAGAAGCACCTGATGGAGGGAGAAGATCACTGAAGCACCTGATGGAGGGAAAAGATCACAGAAGCACCTGATGGAGGGAAAAGATCACTGAAGCACCTGATGGAGGGAAAA